CTGAATCACGGGTAATTGTAAATATTTAAATATTTCATCTGTAGTACAAAATTTCGCTAACACTTATAATTCTTAAAATATGTTTTTTATTTTGATTTTCTTTTGAACAACCTATCAAGGAGATTACATATAGCGGCGTCTGCCCGAGAATAGCTCAACCAATAATTGATAGTTACGTACAGCGCCGTCTGCCCGCAAACAGATCAAGCAATAATTGATAGTTTCGTACAGCGCCATCTGCCCGCGAATAGATCAAGAAATATCAATGAGGTTACGTACAGCGCCATCTGCCCGCGAATAGATCAAGCAATAATGCCGATAATTCTGTCAATACAGATCCCGAGCTTGAGAGTTACAAACAAACATACATGCAAACAAATATACATACATACATACATACAGGTGAAGCTAATATAAAGCGTGTAAATTACGCCTCTATTTATGGTCAAACTATCAGAATTAGATTTTTTCAAACGTTTTGTAAGTTTCTATGAGTAAACCATAAAACATCAGTGCACTTTCACCAACGTAACACAAGTCGATTAAGTTCGTCAGCATAAAAATTGTGTGATCGGGATTCGATGGAGTCGACGAAGACCATTTTTACCATTGGGAAAGTTATGAAAATGCTCAAAAAGATGGTTGTCAGCCGGCGAAAGGTCTGGGGAGTATGGTGGGTGAAGCAGAAGTTTGACGGTCAGTTCGTTTAATTTTTAGATGGTGATTTGTGAAACGTACGGAGGGGGTTCTCGTGGACCAGGACCGGACCTCTTCTATTGACCAGTACCAGCTGCTGCTGATGCAATTTTTGGTACATTTCGATTTCCTCACAATAGGTCTGTGCTGTGATGGTTTGGCCTGGTTACGCTATCTGCTGACCATAATACAGTAACCATAGTCTATTTTTGATGGGTTTTCGCCTTTAGAAAGTGCCTGTTGTCAATATTTTCGAAGATGTTACACATTTAAGATGCAGTGACTTACCGATTGCAGCGGTACCGTACAGGGGGGGCGGCACGTACCTATAGATAGCGCATCGAAGACCGCGCGTCGCCTTATATCACTTTATGATAAGCAGCGATCACACGCGTTTATATGTATATTTGGTATCAGTATTGCACCCGTGCGGATATATTCAATGATGAATATCTGCTGCAAACTAATATCAGTAAAATAAATAATACTCACTGGTTCAACTAACAAATATAGTTCGTGAATCGAGGAGTTGGGTTTGGAGACACCCTCGAGGCCATTGAGGTATGACTTATCAGCATATAGGAAATGTGGGAACGATAACAAAACTGGAGAACCTGAAACAATAATGGCTCAATTAATGGCTCAATTAAAGAAAAAAAAAACAAAATACACAATCAATTTGGGAATCCATTGGATGGTGAAGCGAACAAGTGTGAAATTGTTTGACGATCTGGTTGGATTGATTCCAGTATTTTTGGAGATGATTATTATTTTCTATTAATAGGGTCTTCCAACAGGGACTCTTAGAACGACCATCTTGTTGAAGTTACATCTGTCAAATCACTTGTCATTTATTCAGTCTTGTTTTGCCAAATCATCATGGATGAATATAGCATTCAACAACACGTACAAATAATAAAATTGTTTCATCAAATTGGGTGTTCTGTTCGGGCAACGTACCGCGGGCTTCCCCATTTTACGGTCGCCATAATCGTCCTACCGAGAGGAACACTCGCAATATGGTGGATAAATTTGAGTCCACTGGTTCAGTAAACTTCGACGAAACGCAAGATCTGCCAAAAACATTGTCGATGTCTGTGAGTGTTTGTAGGAGAATCCGAGGCTGTCGATTTCGCGTCGCTCACTCGGCCTTTCGCAGACCACAACTTGGCAATTTTGCATCGTGACTTGGCCCTGCACTCGTACAAATTTCAAATGACCCACGAACTGAAGGTAAACGACCACAAACAACTGCTTGTGTTCGCTTATTGGGCTCTGGAGCAGTTGGGAACTGATCCTAATTTTCATGACTAAATTATCTTCAGCGATGGGTACGTGAATAAACAGAATTGTCGAATTTGGGACGATACCAAACCAAGAGCGTCCAATGCATCACAAAAAAGTCACTGTTTGGTGTGGATTTTGGGCTAGTGGCGTCATTGGTCCATATTTTTTTGAGAAAGAAGTTGGCCAGGCCATCAATGTCAACGACGAATGCATCATGGGTCAATCACTTTTTACCCAATATAAAAGAACAACTAAAACAGTGGACTCAAAATGGAGAAATGCCTCGAAAGAAGGCAGAGACCGTTTCATCTGCAGGCAAGGTAATGGCATCGGTTTTTTAGGATGCGCTTGGAATAATTTTCATTGACTATCAGGTTTCATTGACTCAAAGGTCAAATATTTTCCAACGAAAAAGAAATGATTTTGAGGAGCAAGACAGTTCTTATTATAAAACAGCATCGAACTTATTGAACGTCGCTGAGAAAAGTACATCGAGCTGCAAGGAGATTATTTTGAAAAACCAATAATTTTTTTCAAAAATTCGTGTTTTCTTTGTTAGGCCTGATACTTCTGGGACTACCCCCGTAGGTTGACACCGATTTCCCATAGTTTCTGAAAATAGAATAGTTTCGTATAGATAGAGTAATAGGACCTGATGTAGTCATGTCAAACAATTTTTAATTTGAAACACGTCAACTATCTATTGGCATTTGAAGTACTCATGGTGTAAAATGTTGCAATAATAGTTTATTTTTATTTCATCAACAATTTATTCGATGGTAATCGAAGATAATGTTCAACACACCTCGGACCTGCGTACTTTCAAATTTTACCAAAGGCGTGAGTACTGGTCTACTGCGCCGTAAGGGAAGCAAAGACCATAAAAAAAGAGAAGAAGAAGTAAACCGTAAGTAAAGTGGTAATCAGGGACCTGGGTATAGACCAACGATTATGGATATACAGGATTGCTTACTTACATATATCGCCACGTTAAACATATGCCGAGCAGATGTGACGTACCACTGGTGACAGTTTTAGTAGCTGCCATAAGACTGTGTGTTATTTTAACATTTTTTGAGGTTTATTTTCGTACAGTATTACATTGTTTTTGTTTATTTTGATTACATTTTTATTCAACTATACCAATTAGGTTTCTGAAACATTGAGTTTGTTATTGTGATAGTCGTATTTTTTTGTGCTTCTGGACATTTTTTAAACTGGTGTAACGAGTAGACGCCATATAAGACTCTGTTATTTTCATCCGTTTTGAGGTTTGTTTTTTGCCATTGTGGATTTTTTTTTTTGGTTTTTCAACATTTTTAAATTAAATTAAGGTAAACATTGAAAATATTCACATTTTCGTAAATAATAGCAATAATTGTCTAACCATTAAATAACCTTGTAATTTTTTTTTTAAATGCCTGGTCCAGCAACTTTCATTGGGAGGTCTTATTAAACTCACAGATAATTGGTTAAAAATATTAAAAAGTGAAACAAGCTTTTCGAAAAACATCATTTAAATGGATTTGGAAAAAGGTCAGGAGTTGTAAAAGCTCTTTCAGAAAAAATTGCAAATATTATTTTTGAATTTCGCAAACTGAATTAAAAGTGCTGTACCGAATCAGTCCGGAGTCCCCACTGTTACGTCACGAGATCACGTGACGTGACTAACAAAATCGCAAAAGTAAGCAATCCTTTATGTCCATAATCGTTGGATATAGACCACAACTATATTATTAGGGTTGATTGGTTGCTATTTGTTGAGTATCAATGTACGTGGACTCTATTTTCTGTGATATGAGTTTGGATGTTGTGCTTTTGCGTGATTTCTCTCATGCATCACTTGGGCCACTTGTCCAGCATTCGAGCGACCCGTTTCTTCTGTCGCACTCCAGACCGTTTTTGACCGATGAAAATTACAAATGAATAAATTAAATTCGAACAAGAGGCGGAAATGGAACAGTAATGTTACATCAAAATTTAAGTATCTCTAAATTATAACTATTTGGGTTAGTTTGATCATTAATTGGGAATATTTTTGCACACGTACCGAAACAAGGAAAGACATCTACGACGCCGTTCAACCAACATGTTGGCTCTCCTTTCAAACCCTTTGTCTGTTGAATACAATAGCAATCGTCGTCTGCGCTGGCAGTGGCTGGCTTCAACGTAGTTTCATCAACTCCAAAGCGGTATCCATCAATTCCACCGTAACTGCCAGGTCCTTTGTATTTTATTTGAACAGTTCTGAAATACACAAAATATGAACTTTCCAGATATTCTAAAAAAATAGATGAAGAACAAAATTAGTCATTTCACATGTGGTGTAAAGTTCAATTCAATAAAATTGTGATGAATACGTTTGGAATTGATGGTAACGTCTTGTGTTACGAAGATCCTGTATTTGATATAGAAATAAAACTTAAACGACGAAAATGAAGTATAAACGAGAATCTCATTCGCGGTCCGCATTAATGCAATATTATAACTTATGATTCAAATGAGTTGCCTATCTGCAATGGAGGGTGCGAAAACAGAAATCTTGGAAAAAATTCGTGAAGATAGATGTCATTGCCGTCTTCTTCTTAGGGTTGTCCTCTAAGGACAGCTGAGACTAACAATGCCTCTCTAGTGTTATACTACATATACTTTGTGGTTTTTATTTATTTATTCAGTTATCCAAACAGGCTGAATAGCCCATTTACATGGATATAACATGAAAGAAATATTTGATTTCAGTTCAATAAGAATAATAACACAATGTATTCATAAACGTAATATACGCAAGCAAAAATTATACAGAAATGTCAATCAAATAATTCAATATCAATTGTCGAAACCTATTTTGATATTAAATCCAGTTCAATAATGTTGAGACACCAATTCAACTAAGCATGTATACAAGAGAAGATCTATATCAATATATATTCAAAGGGTATTTGAATTCAAGGAACGAACATGTGTGTCACAGAGATACATTGAACGCTATCAATAGTTGATTGCAGAACAATCATTTAAAACTGAAAGAGGCATATTTTGGAAAAGAAAAGATTTAGCTTATTACTTCACCATGTTCATACAAAAAATATATATGGGAATCTTCCAAAGAAAGAAAGAGAAGTTTGAATTGATTAACCTGATACCAAGCATAATTAAGAACTTTAATCTTTTATTTCAAGGTTACGAAAAGTCGGATATGTCCACTGATAAATGACAAAATATGTAATTGAAAGTTATTGTAAAATGTGGATATGTCGATAATCGATGAACGCCAGTAAAATCAATTCTAGTGCACGTAGAGATGAAGAATTTTTTCTATTCTATAAATTTCATAAAATGTCAGTTGTCAATCAAACCGAATCCATCGACTATAAAAAGTAATTGACTGGTGAAGACCAACCGCCAGTGGAACTGACAACAAATTTGAAAACGTGATGATAGATGTCACAAGTAAAAACTATTAAACAATATAAAATGGTTTTGTTGCTATGGTGCATGGGTGAATTTGAGAACTTGCCTTTTTGTTCTGTGTTAGATCTTAGAGGTCGTGTTATTTTTTCATGAGTTGAAATTTTCATCTATATATTATAGACTAAATGTCTCTTTTTTCCAAGTGGGGATGGACTGTGTTGTCCAAATTCGCTTTACTATGAACTCACTTGACACCTGAACAAGAAGTGAATCTTTTGGCCCGATAGACACTGTAGCTCCGGCCACTACATGAAAGAGAAGAAGAATTGTCATTTTCCCGCTCTAACCTCTGTAATTTAACTTAATTTGTAAAGAGTAGAGATTTCCAATAATTATTTAAAAAATGCCACCCAGAAGAAGTACAAGAAATAAAACCCAGTCCAAAGCTTCTGAAGAAGTTGCAGAAATTGAAGTGAAAAATGTTGAATCAGAAGAACCACCAGCCAAGAAAATGAAATCAAAAAAGGAAACAAAAGACAATAATCCTAACCCTCATGAAGAAGAGAATACAGACCACCAAGAAGTCAAAACAATTTATGAATTCTCTGCCAAAGATATAAATGGCAAAGAAGTTTCCTTGGAAAAATACAAAGGTCATGTATGCATCATCGTAAATGTAGCTTCAAGATGTGGACATACGAAAAGTAATTATGAACAATTCGTGGAGATATTTGATAAATATTCAGTGGAGAAAGGTTTGAGGATACTAGCTTTTCCTTGCAATCAATTTGGCAAACAGGAACCTGGAGATTCAGAAAAGATATGTGAGTTTGCCAAGAAAAGAAATGTCAAGTTTGATATGTTCGAGAAAATTGAAGTTAATGGTAAAAATGCTCATCCACTATGGAAATTCATCAAAGAAAAAATAGCTGGGCCAAAAGGATATAATATTGACTGGAACTTCACCAAATTTGTAATCGACAAAGAAGGCAACGTTGTTGAGAGACTGAAACCTAGTGTGAAACCTCTACAAATGGTCGAAGTACTAGAAAAATATTGGTAGTTGACTTGTTCATCATATTTTAATTCTTGAGGAGATATATTCGTTTATCACTATCCATGAGTTTCATTTCCATCATTAGCATCCCAAAATGAATCTTCTGTTCATGAGAAAACATCAAAATTGGAAGGAATGTGTTTTAAATTTTTGTGAGTATTTGTATTCTGATATGTTGACATTAATTGTAGATTATGTCAAGATGTTCAATGGTAAGTGTAACATTTACCTTAAAACAAAGTAAAATAGGCAATAATGATGATGAACAGGTATTATATAAAAATTGGAAAGAATAGAATTGACGAAAACTGTAATAAAAACATCATTTTTGTCGCAGAAAGAATATTATTTAGTCTACTTTCGACATTGGATTCCTAACACGGGTTGAACCTTAGACAGTGAAAATTGATTGTCTGGCCTGTGGGATCGAATCACCGATATACCTAGCGGTCTATGAGAAGAGTGGAACAAACCTCTCACGCTAACCAAACCGGGTATCGTCCCGCCATATGTGATAAAGATATTTGCTTGAGTTGAGATGACAGTCAGATAGTCATAATTCCGAACCCCTAAAATGTCAGATGAGAAGGGTGCTAAGATTTGGTGGTTTGAGGTTTATGGTCAAATTCCTTTTAGATGAGCTGACACGAGATACCTCTTTCCATATGAAATTTTTGTGGAAGTAGCTCCTGAGAGTTTTCAAATGAACACTCTGCATATAACATTTATGTTTGTTATTTCATGTTTCAGTAAGTTTGGAGAAATATATTTTTTTGTATTTTGATGTAAGTGTGAGTTACTTTTCTATATTGTTAAACATTATATAGAATTCATATATTTCATTACAATGATGTAACAACATGTAATCTTATGTTTTCACCAGAGTTCCTGTTAGTTGAAATTTGTTTTATTGATATTAAATATTTTCAAATCGTGATAAAATATTAAGTATTTATTAAATGATATACCAACTAGCACAATAGTTTCCTAAAGTCACTGGATCAGAGAAAAATGAGTGAAAATTTTCATTATTTCGCCACAGATTTCGCGAGTAAATACATTTTGTTCCAAGTTTGGAGTATTTTGTATAATTTCTGTTGGCTGCACTTAACTTGTGTTCCATATATTTTCACTACT